CCCTCCGTGTCTTTAGCGCCAGCCGGAGGAGCAGGAGTGCGAGGGGGGAGGGGAAAGGGGGAGGGGGAGGAGGAGGCAGGAGGCCCCAGGAGGGGCATGAGGGGCAGGAGGAGGATGAGGAGGAGAGGAGGAGGAGGAAGGAGGAGGAGAGAGAGAAGGAGGAGGAGGAGGAGGAGGAGGAGGAGGAGGATAGAGCAGGAAAAGCGAAGAGGAGGGGAAGGAGGAGAGGAGGAGGAGGAGGAGGAGAAGGAGGAGGATGGGGAGGATGAGGGATGAGGAAGAAGATGAGGAGGGGCCAGGGGGGGGGAGGAGGTCCAGGAGGGAGGAGGAGGAGGAGGAAGTGGAGGAGGAGGAGGACTTCGTGCCCCCTACCGTAGAGTAGGGCCCATCATCCACGACCGACCTCACGACCTTCCTCCCTCCGCCCTTCACCGCGAGTGCCGGGGGTCGAGGTTTTCGGCGAAACCACTCGGCGAGCTGAGAGGACTTCGGAGGAGCAAGATGTGACGTAGGCTCACCCCCTCCCCACTCCTCCCTCCTCCTACCCCCCCCGCCCGGCAAGGCGGCAGCGGCGGCCTCGTCCGGCGGCGAGAGGCGCGCCAGTGCCAGGAAGACCCCGTTGAAGAGCGAGCTCGGCGAGGAGGGCGATCATGAGGCAAGGCCTCGATCCCCTCTGCTCGCACTCCGAGCCGTTCATGCCCCCCCCAGTCTTCCTCTTCTTCCTCCGAGTCGTTTGGTTTCTTTGGGCCCTGGCCCTGGCCCTCACCGCTCTCCCGGATCTCCCTGCAGGGGTGACTCGCGCCCCCCAGGCCCCCGGGGGCCTGATAATGGCAACGCCGCCGAAGGGGGGGGGGGCCGGGCCTGGGCGCCAAACGATTTGGAGGAAGAGCGGGGGGTCCAGAGGGCGGGCCGAACAGCTCAGAGGCACGCCCAGTGGGAGGGGGAGGTGAGGAGTTGGTGGAGCGGCTCCCAGTGGAGCGGATCTAAGGACAGAGAGGCATAGGAGGCGCGCTTCCCTGGGCATGATACGGAGGAGGAGGAGGAGGAGGAGGAAGATGAGGGGGAGTTACGGAGTTACGGATACTGCGATTGCGTCACTTACGGATGAAATGGGCTGAATCCTTCAGTTGCGGATCAGTTGCCAAAATGAGGGGCAGGATGAGGAGGAGGAGGGGGAACACTGCTCCTGGAGCAGGGGGAGCAGGAGGAGGAGGAGGAGGAGGAGGAGGAGGAGGGGCCAGGAGGGGGAAGGACGAACAATGGTGGTGTTGCATTTGTCTTGCCCTGCGTTGCTGTCTGGGGGGGAGGAGCTCTCGGGTGCGTCTTGGATGCCTGAAGGGCTGCCTCGGGGGAGGGGGGAGTTTAGAGGTTCAGAGGGAACATTTCCAAAGAAAACTCGAAGTTTCCGTCTGACCCCGCCTCGCCCCCGTCTTAAAAAAGGGGGCGCGGGCGGAAACATATTAGCGCACGGTCCTTTTAGGGCCCTTCTCGGGGGAGGGGGAGGGGCCGCCGCCGGGTCCCGTTCCGATCGGCCCGCCTTTTTTTTTTTTCCCCACCTAGGTTCTGCCTAGAAGGGTTCTCGCTCTCTGGGCTTCAAGGGGCCGGGCAGAAAGCGCCCTGGGCGGTTCCCCCAGCATCCGCCCCGCGGTTCCCCCAGTTGCGTCCCCTTAGCGTGGCCTAGCTTAGCTTAGCTTAGCTTAGCTTAGCATAGCGCAGCGCTGCATTAGCATAACATTACATAACATAGCCAATCATATAACAACATATCATAGCATATCATAGCGTAGCTTATCATACCATAGTACACCATAACATAGCATAGCGCAGTTTAGCATAACACTTCATATCATATCATAGCGTAGCTTAGCATAGCACAGTGCAACATGACATATCACAGTTTATCATATCAAATCATATCATAACGTACCATAGCGCAAAATAGCATAGCACATCACATCATAGCGCAGCATAGCATGTCATATCATAGTATAGCATTGCATAGCAAGTAATGCTGCTTTCCTAGGGGCTCCAACTTCTAGGTCGGGTCGCACTGGGGTAATAGTAATAGAGATCAGCCCCGCCCCCATTAACGATCGCCCGATGCTATCCGCCCCCTTCTTCCTGCCGCTACCCGCCCAGGGCCCGCCCCAGGGGCCGCCCCGCCTCCCGCCCCCCCCCGTCCACGACCCTTCCCTCGCTCGCGGGGCCGGCCCGGCCGGGCAGGCGGCCCTTGCAAGGCTCGCAGTGTCATGTGTCGACGCTGCGACGCTGTGGACACAGATGGCACGCGGAGAAGGAGGAGGACGAGGCACCCGGAGGAAAGGAGGACACGGAGGTGCTAGAGGGAACGCTTTTCTCGAAAACGCGACCGCCCAGAAAGGAGGAAGGAGGAGTCGGAGGAGGAGTCAGACACTACCAGGAGATTCAACTGGATGCTCAGACGGGGACGGGCCGAGCGTCAGATGGGTCGGAGTGCTCGTAGGGCTCGTCGTCGCAGGCTCGCACACCAACTTTGGCCAATCGTACCCACATGCTGCCGCGATTGCGTCGTGAAGGGCCGGAATCTCGATCAACCAGGCGGGCGGGTCGACGGCGCTGGCACTGCTTTCGACGATGGTGGAGCTGCCGGCTGGGGACGTCGGGGACAGCCACCAGTGGTGGCCAGCATTGTCTGGGAACGGGTGGTTACCGTCGGACTCGTCCACCTCAGCCTCGGCCTCAGCCTCCGGCTCGGGCTCGGACCCCGTGTCGACCACCATGGGGACCATGGGGAACGCGACCGCACCCGAAACCCGAAACGTCTTGGGGCAAAATGGCTACGGACCCACGGGGCCGAGTTCAAGAGGAACGTGGGACCGATGAAACAGGAAACACGCTCAGGGTCGCTGAGCCTGAGCGCTGCCATGGCCGAAGGATGCAGTCACTGCGCCCTGCGCCCTAAGTGACCGTCCTCGATGCACCCCGCAATAGCGGATAACAGTGAGGGGGCGGGCGCGGCCGACGCTGTCGTTGAGGTGGGTGGGTCGTGGGTCGTGGGCGGGTCGCGGGTGAGACGCGGGGTGAGTCGCGGGGTGGATCGCGGGTGGGTCGCGGGCGGGTCGCGGGGTAGGTCGCGGGTAAGTCGCGGGTACAGATCCCTCTCCTTCTCCTCGATCCTCCCCATTCCACATCCTCCTCTTACTCCTCCTGCCAGTCGGGGCCCGATGGCGTCGCTAAGGCGGTGGCCCGGGCACCGCACGACGTGGTCGCGCGAGGGCGCGCGTGGAGCTCGGGCCGACGTGCAGCTCGGCGCGCGGCTGGCGGGGGCTAGGGCCCACTAGGGCCGCAGGGCCTGAAGGGAACGCGTTCTGACCGAGCTTTCAAGGGGCACATCCAGCCTTGGCGACGATTCAAGGCGCCAGACAATTATCCCAACGGATGGACCCCGCATGATAACCTAATTTTGTATGGGATATGTACATTACAGAATGATGCTGTTCCTGCTGGCGCTGCTGCTGCTGCTGCTCCTCCTCCTGGACTCCTCCTCCTCCTCATCTTCCTCCTCCTCCTTGAGCAGCGTCCATGTCAACTGCTTCAACTGCTTCCTGACGGCGCCGTCGTTGAAATCCCCGCTTCCTCCCCCTCTTTCTCCTCCTCCTCCCCCTCCTCCTCCTCACCCCCCTCCGCCTCATCCTCGACCGGCTCTCATTTCAACCGCCTCCTCCCGACGCCGCCGCGGTTAAAACCTTCCTCCCCCTCTTCTCCTCCTCCTCCTCCTCCTCCTGCTCCTCCTCCTCCTCCCTCCTCCCTCCCCCTCCTCCTCGTCCTCCTCCTTGTCATCCACCTCCTCCTGGTCCCTCTCCTCCTCCTCCTCCTTTTCCTCCTCCTCGTCCTCCTCCTCGACGTCCTCCTCCTCCTCCTCATCCTCACGTCTCCTCCTCCTCCTCCTTCTCCGCCTTGAGCAGCGTCCAAATTCATCCGCGTCCTCCTGACGGCACCGTGGTTGAAATCCCCGCCTCCTCCTCCTCTTTCTCCTCCTCCTCCTCCTCCTCCTCCTCCTCCCCCTCCTCCTCCTCCCCGAGGGAGTGGCTCAAGTTGCCACTTCCGAGGGTTAAAACTGAGGCCTCAGTTTTAACCCTCAAGCGGGCCAGGTCACCGAAGGCCATGGCGCCGTTTGTGGACGTACGCTGTCCTTTCATCTGATCGCTCCTGATCGCTCTTTCTCCTAAACCTCCTCCTCATCCTCCTCAGCGCGGGCGGGCTCGCATGGAATGCCCCTGAGGGTCATTCCGTGCGAGCGGACTCGCTGATGCCGATTGCCGCTGGAATTCCAATACTTAGGCGGGGCCCCCTAAGGGCCACAGGGGGGGCCCCTTCCGCGCGAGCGGGCTCGCATGGAATGTCCCTGAGGGTCATTCCGTTCGAGCGGGCTCGCTGACCCCGGTAACCGTTGGAATTCCAACTCCTTGGCGGGGCCCCCTAGGGGCCACAGGGGAGGTCCCTTCCGCGCGAGCGGGCTCGCATGGAATGCCCCTGAGGGTCATTCCGTTCGAGCGGGCTCGTTGATGCCGATAGCCGTTGGAATGCCCTCCCGCGCGAGCGGGCTCGCATGGAATGCCCGAGGATGATGATCATGATTTGTGTGTGTGTGCGTGTGTGTGTGTGTGTGTGCGTCTGTGTGCGTGTGCTTGTGCGTGTGCGTGTGCGTGACTGGGCGTGGGCGGGCGTGGCCCGTGGCCCTCCAGAGAAAACAAGAACCCCGCTTAGAATTTTGGGAAAACGAATATACAATTAAACCTTGTTGCCGTCTCCTCTCACTCCCCCTCGCCCCTCGTCCTCTTCCGCCCCTTTCCTCCCTGCTAGAGGCGGGCACCATGAAAGCAACAACTCTCGTATGTGGGGTTTCCTCAGCTCCCTCGCCCGGCCCCTCCGCATAGCGATTTGGGCTTGGGCGCCCGCGCGAGCCGCGCGTCGCGCGAGCTCTGGCCAGGGCCACTGGGGCCGCGGGCGAGTTAGCCAGGATGCCGCCTAAGAGGATGAGGAAGTCTCGGAAGCCTGTGAAGAAATCAAACATGAAATCGTCCCGCAGAGTAATGATGGGTATCCAGCGCCAGTCTGTACTATGGGCTACTAAGCGGGACGTCCAGCTCCCGCCCCGAGGGAGCCGCCCTCAGACGCCAGTGGACGTGCAGTGGCCTCTGGGCCACCTCGTAGGCTGTTTGACAGTTGCCGAGAAAGCCACGATTACGGACTTCCTGAAGGCGGGGGTCTCTGTGATCACAGACTACTCAGGCTGCGGCCAGGCAGAGCGCGCGATCGACGATATAGCTTACATCCTGGGCCTCTCCCCCGAGAATTGCGTTGTCAACGAGCGGTCTTGTGACATACAAGCGCATTGCCGAGACCTGCTCAGGGGGCTCCGTGGACAGGGTTGCATCCAGACGGACATGCGCCTACGTATGCCCGGCGTCGTGCGAGAGGCCCTCGAGAAGCTCATCGCCCGCTACAGCAAGGAGATGCAGGAGAAGAAGAGCCAGAGCAGGTCGCCCGATCAGATATTCACCAAGAAGCAGATGGGCCAGGAGTTCGTCAAGGAGGCAGCGGATATCATGAAGCAGCACATGGGCCTCTACAAGTCGGACGTGCGCGTGCCCTGCGAACGACACCGCCACGCTGGAAGAGGGTGCTTGGCCTACCCCCAGAAGGGTGACGACAAGAAGTACAGGCTGCTGGTGGCCGGCATGAGCTGCCTCGACTGGAGCGCGAAGGGCAGCAAGATAGGTGTCTTCGGCGTCGGCGCGATGGCCTGGTGCACCCTCATGTGGGACATGCTCAACGATCCGCCGGACGTCAGATCGCGGGTTCAGAAATCCACGCCTTCCGGGCCTTGTTTGTGCGGGCCTCCTCCACATCCCCGGGACCTCCCCCCCCCTCGTGTTCCATGTCCTTGACCTTTTGGGGCAGGCCAGGCAGGCGATAAAGGGGGCGGCTTGAGAGTGGGTGATTTGTGGGATCCTGTAAACCAGCTTAGATTCAAGCAGCTTGAGTGGGTGATTTTTGGGATCCTGAAAACCAGCTTAGATTAGCGCAGCTTGAGTGGGTGATTTTGGGGATCCTGTAAACCAGCCCAGGCCCAGGCGTCTGAGAGGTGGCCCGGCAGCGGGCTCGCAGGCGTGGATTTCTGGACCCTGAGAGGTTGGGATTTTGGAGTGCACGCTGACGTACGATGAGGAGCATATTCGGCTTGCACTTCAGAGCGTGGGAGCAACAGTGGATTCTGCGGTTTTCAGCCCCCACATGCTTGGAGTGCCTTGCCAGCGATTCCGCAAGTACATGGTGGTGTTATTCGGCGACCAGCCCTCGCGACCCAAGTGGAGTGACCCTAGCGCGACCTTCAGCAAGAAGAACCTCCTGGGGACCTTCGGGCGGATCTGCCACCTGTCAGGTTCCGAGTACATGAAGGACACTTCTAAGGCCGAGACCCGCGAGATGACCGAGAAGCTCGCAATCAGGAACCATATGCCCATCCGCACTGCGGATGGCAAGAGGTGGGCCATGGTCGACGTGTTGGGCAAGGGCGTCATTCAGAGGTACCAGCAGCACAAGGCCATGCTCATCAGCAGCAACATTCCCACAAAGGCAGATGTTTTTACAACCATTTGCCAAAACCCATCGCACTCCAGCATCAGCCGCTACATACCTGCACTTCTTCAAAAATCACAGGTTCCCAAAGCCTCAAGGCATCGAAATCGCACCGTCCAGTTTGGGCACTTGGTCGTTGATTGCCGCGTTGCTAGTCGTCGACACCTTCCCCGGGCCGCCGGCCCCCCCATCCGAGGCCCTCTCCCCGCTGCCCCCCCCCGCATCAAGGACTGGGGGCCGGGGCCCGCCTAGGGCCCAAGGGCCTCGCAGTGCGCCCAGCGTTCCCAGGGCGACGGACAGCCGCGAGCTCGTTGATGGGGGGATGGGGAATGGTGAATGGTTGTTTCGTGAACCCTACAGGTTTGGTCATGGGGCAGGGGCCGTCTCCTTCTACCCCGTGAACACTTCTGCGTCATGGGAATCCCTTGGACACAGGAGGGGGCGGGCAACCTGTCCGATCGTCAGGCCATCAGCGTCGCCGGCAACGCAATGAATATGACAGCGATTGGGGCGGTGGTGCTCTGGGTCATGATGCACGTGAAATGATCACGTGATTCTCGCTAGACTCTTCCCTCCACTTCAGAAACGCCTGCTGCGCCACTGCGTGCATCAGCAAACGCTTGCAGCACGCTGCAGCGAGCGAAGTTACAGCCGTGATCGCGCTTCTGCGCGTCCGCTCTCAGCGCGCAGGTTTGATAGGGTTGGCAACTTGGATGCCTGCAGGTGCCTGCATATGCCTCTCCGCTCTCAGCACGCAGGTCAGATGCGGTCTAGGTTGATGGGGCTGACAGCTTGGAAGCCTGCAGGTGCGACGCAGTTGTAATTAGGGCAACAGCTCATGTCTTCATAACGTCGCCATCGCCATCCTCATCGCCCCAAGGCTCCAAGGGATTAGAAATGGGCCTCGTTGAGAGCTTGGGCAGGCCCCAACTCCCAAGAATTTCGCACATCTATTTTGTATGGAACTCTATTCTTTGGGCCCCTGGGCTTGTCCAAGATTCCTACTGGAGCTCTTCCAAGATCCGGGGCCCAAGAGTTGGCGGCCAACAGTTGGCGGCCAGGGCCCCTCAGGGCCTGGGGCGCAGAGGGCCCCTTCCACTGGGGGCTCAGGCAAGCATGCGCATCAAACGCTGAAATGTGATGTTCGCACAACTTAACCTCTCCCAAGATTTTGAATTGAGTGCCTCGTGACTTCAGGGATCGGCGTGGATTTCTGGGGTCTTTCTCAAGGTCCTCTGGGGCTCTGGGGCAAGACTGGCCTGGTCAGGCTCAAGGCTCAGGGCTCGGGCTCAGCGTTCTCTTGGGGCCCCTGTGCAGGCCAATGCGGATGAGCGCCCAGAGTCCAGAGCTCGTCGGCAGGCAGACGGAGCATGAGAGGAGAGGAGAGGAGCAGTAGCAGCAGGATGAGGAAGGAAGGAGTGGTCATAATGCCGCGGCATCGCAGGCCATCGCCAGCAAGAAGTGCACTGGCGCCTGCAGGAAGACGAAGCCCTTGACCGAGTTTTACGCCGACCAGTGCAGGTGCAAGGATTGCGTGTCGGTTGAGAAGAAGTTGCAGACCAAGGCGAAGTCTTCCAACCTGACAGGCTGGCTGAGCGACCTCAAGAAGGATGACCCCAAAGGTTATGATAAGCTGAACAAGAGCTTCACCAAGGCTACCAGAACTACTGCTGGCACTAAGAGTTTTAGCATGGTGCAGTGGAAGCAGCAGTATACTTTGAAAGCTGGCACGCGCCATGCGAGGCGCTCAAAGTGGATGTGGGAACTGGAATACTACGAGCACATGGGTCAGATAGCGCAGGGCAGCGTACCCAGGAAGACAGCGGCCAAGCAGTGGCAGGAGATGATGAACGACCCGGCAATCCGCAAGACCGACGATGGCCCGAATGGGGCGGCACGGATAAAAATATGTCTCGGAGATTATGAATCCAGCTTCTCCGAAGAGGCGGAGGAGGATCAAGTGGAAGTGCACGTGGCCTCGAAGAAGAAGGCGAGCCGCTCTGACGTTGCCAACATGGTGGACCAGGTGCACTCTGGTTCGGTTGGGTCAACCTTCATCGACACCGAGGCCATGGGTGAAGCGGTGAAGCCTCGAGCACTCATGTCACCCACTTGCCCCGTGGAACGATTGCCGAGAGTTGGGGGCTGGGGCCCGCCCCGAGCCTCGAGCCTCGGGCCCGGGGCTCCCGAGCCTCGGGGCCAGTCAGCGCCTGAGATTTCTTGCCTGCCATCTCGGTGCAATCCCCTTAGGCCCAGTGGCGTCGCTTCCGGGGGGCGATCGTTCCCTTTCCCATCCAGGCTGACGCCGTGGAGGCCAATCGCGAGAGGAAGGAGAGGTTCGAGGCCGCGGCCGCCATGGCGCGGATCGAGGGCACCAACGTCAGGGCGCTGGCTGGCTCCATGGCGAAGGTCGACCTGCAGGCGATGAGCGCTGGCCCCCAGCCGGCGGACGCCGAGGACGGCGACGAGGACGTAGGCGACGAGGCCCAGGGCGCCGCCGCGGGGCCGCCGCTCGGCGACCAGGAGGATCAGCAGGAGAAGTTCGACGCCGACTTGGCGCGAAACAAGGTAGGGTGGTGGCAGGGTCAACGGCTTGAGAAATCGAAGAGGGTGGCCAACTGGAGGAGGTGAGGATTGGAGGGAGGAGGGAGTAAGGAGTAAGGGAGGTCGGAGTCCAGAGGTGAGGGACGAGGAGGAGGAGGAGGAGGAGGAAGAGGAGGAGGAGGAGAGGAGGGTGGAGGAGGAGGACGAGTTAGGAGGTAGGGCCCAGGTAGGGGGTTGGAGGAGGAGACGTTTGGGACATTCTTGAATCTTGGGCCCTCATGGCCAAAGGAGGACCCTCCTCGGACTCAGATCAGGAGGATGGCCCGAAGTACGCTGTTCCCAGCGTTCACTAATCAGTGATTGCACTCCAGGGCCCTTTCGAACATTGAACGACTCGCTGATGCAATGATAACAGCCGACAGTTTGCCTTAAGGCACCGCGTCTAGGACATCCTGAAACTCCATCGGCGCCCTCTTGAGACCCTCCTGGGCCCTCTTGGTCTCTTGGGCCTCGACGAGCCCCAAGCACCCTGGAACTTCAAGACAGCCTTCGTTGGCCTTCCATAAGTTCCCTACCTAGGCTCTGCCTAGAAGGGTTCGTACTGTGTCAACTTCAAGTTGTCGGGCAGTGCAAATCGCCCCGGGCGGTTCCCCCAGGGCCCCAGGGGCCCCCAGGATCCGCCCCGCGGTTCCCCCAGTTACGTAGGCTAGGCTATGCCTAGAGGGCTAGCTTAGCTTAGCTGCTTAGCTTAGCTGCTTAGCATAGCGCAGCGCTGCATTGGCATAACATAGCATAGCATAGTATAACATTGCCAAGCATAGCATAGCATAACATAGCATAGCAGTGGCTTGTGATTTCGGCATAGGGATTGCGCCGACCAAACCGTATGTATGACCCGGAGCCACAAAACATAGCCTAGCATAGCGCAGCTCAGCATCGCATAGCATAGCGTAGCGTAGCACAGTGAAACATGACATAGCATAGCTTAGCATAACATAGCACACCATAGCATAGCGCAGCATAGCATAGCATAACATAGCATAGCATAGCGCAGTATAGCATGCCACAGCATAGCGCCGGACACTTTACACGACAAATCACAGGACCAGGCACTTTCGTCGCAAAGTGTCCGGCCTTGGTCTCGGGCCCTCCCAGGCTTCTTTTGGGGTCCTCCTAGGGGCCCCTTGAAGCCTTGGCCCTTGGCAGTCCCAGCCCGGTCGGCTGGACTGGGCCCTCTCCTCTTGGACCGTCCTGTGTTTTTTTGTTTTCGTGGGGCCCTGGAGCCTTGTGCCCGATGTCCTGAGCTGTGATGGTGCACCCCTCGGCGCCCCTTGGGAGTTGGGAATGTCTTGGGGCCTGGCCGGGTGCCTTTCGCGGGCCTCTTTTCTGGGCTACCTGCCAGGCCATGCGCAAGCTTGAGCGGGAGTTCGAGAAGACCAAAGACACGCTCAACAAGGAGAGGCTCAGCGTCGAGTCGGCTCTCCTGGACTTCAGCTCAGACGTTGACAAGGAACAGTACAAGCGCGAGTTGTCCGTTGTGTCCGGCCGCTTGAGGGCGATGGAGTATGCGATGGCGACCGGCCCCGGAGCCAGTAAATGTTTGTCCGAGTACTTAGATACGTTCGCCCAGCTCGACGATAAAGCCAGCACCCGCGCAGGCTCAGGCCCGATCGATGACGGCAAGGGTGAGAATCCGCTTGCCAAAGCGGCGCCGTGCTACAATTACCAGTACCTCGAGACATTGGATCAGCTCCAGTCTCGCACGGAGCTCTCGGCAACCTTGGTCACTGAGAAGTCCCTCCTGGATGAGGAGCAGAAGCACTTGCTCTACTTCCGCGCGGGGCAGGAGCTCGCCAAGGCGTGCAGCAAGGCACGTTGGGACGGATACCCCGATCACACACACCCCCCGAAACATGGCCAGCCAGGAGGAAGAGGAGGGTTTGAAACAGGAGCAGCAGCAGTAGCAGGAGGAGCGCCAGGAGCACCAGGAGCAGGGACAGGACGATATACATCATCAGGAGAAGCAGGAGTAGGAGGAGAAGGAGGCTGCAGAAGTAGCACGATACAAGTGGAATGAGGAGGCGTAAAGGCTCTGGCTAGAGCGGTTCTGGGCCCGGCCCTGCCCTGCCCCTTCTGTCCCGCATTTTCTGATCCGTCCTCCTCTGTATTTCTCGTATTCCTCCTTCCCCTCGGCCCCCGGCCTTCCTGCGATTGCATTGCGGCCCCCCTTCGAGGCGACGGCCGAGCTCTACAACGCGCGCGTGACCTTCAAGTCGGAGCTGCTGAAGCGGAAGAACAAGGCTGAGCAGGAGTCGATCAAGCGCCAGAAGAGGGGTCTTGGAGAATTGGCGCCCGAGCCTGCTCCTGCGCCCGCTGCAGACACCAAGAAATTTTGGGAGTGGCAGCCAGACATGGATCAC